CACATCAACATAAGATTATTAAAACAATGATTTCAAATGTACTTTCAAGCAAAACTTTTAATTTGATATTATTACAAAGTGCCCTTTTTAAAAGTCTACTTAAGTGTGTTAAGAAACAGACATGACTATTTTTTAAGTGGCCTTTTATTTCATTAATATTATATTATCTGCTAGTATATACTTTTTAAGATATTACGTACACTACACGTGCACATTCAATAGAATTATGCACACTTGTTTTCAGTTACAAATGTGACTGCACTCATTATGGTTGCCCCTTTTGAAATCATGATGCTGTTACAATCATGTACATATTCTGATGAAACTGTGATGAAATATTTAAAGGAATAATTCACTCAGAAATGTAAATTCTTCTTGATGAAAAGTCATGCAGGTTTGTGGAGACACGATGGTGCAGTATCATTGTTTCTGGGTAACATGTAGGCCTAGATGTTAGACAAAACAGTGTGGTTAGAACACTGCTGCTTGCCAATAACTGTTCATTATCATTTAAGATGTTTGTCTCAGCAATCTGTCCACAGCCTGCATCTCCAGATTTTAAGGACTATGCACATAATTATCCATCCGATTTCATCATTACCTTTAGAGAATAAACTTTTTTTTCTATGTCAAATACTTTAATATTTACGTAATCGTGTTTTCCGTACCAGAGCAGGAAAAGCTCCCCCTCTGTCAGTGGTTTCTCCCAGTGTTTTTCCTGTCTCACTTGATTTTGGCAGGAACACTGGAGACATGAACTTCTTAACCGTCAGCCCCCATTTTTGAACATAGGCGTTAAAATGCTCTATCCAGACTTGTTATAATTCATGAACGCTTTGGAATACAGACCTAAGGTTGGACTCTTTTTAAAGAAGACAATCAATTATAAAAAGTTTTGATTGTAAAATACCGTAATACATTTTGTAATATGATACTCGACACCACCAACTAAGAAGGAGGAGACCACTAAAAGATTTTAAAGTACCGTTTCCATGGTAACGCAATGTCCAAAAATGGTTACACAATGGTTTTCACAAGATGAACTTTGAGGTTTTAAGCTTTCAAATTATATATAATTTATGATGATATGTATATATATATATATATGTATTTATTTATATATATATATTTTTTGCAACTCTTTACTATGTATTTTCAATTACGCCTTCTCACTAGCAAGTTGGCAGGTTGACCATATATATATATATATAAGATTTTGTGCACTTGTTTTGCTGATCAAAAATAATAATAAATAAATATATAGTTATAGGGACTACTGAACAGACTGATTTTAAAATGCAAAGTATTGCAAATAAAAATAAAGCTCTGTAAACACTTGCATTTTTACAACACTATAGCGTGTCCCATCAGTTCTGCACACACTTGTGGTCTTCATGCTCACTTGAACACTTGGACCGAATACAGGAAATACGTCATATGTCAAGTGGTCAAGTGCAAAGACCGCAAGTGCAGGTATTTGAACAAGGCAAGTATCTTGCAGGACATTAACCATCAGCTTGTCAAACCAGTGAAGAAATGTGGGATGTTTGTCTCTGATTTAAGTTCTGCTGTCCTCGTGTGGTCGGAAAGGAGAACTGCATCATTTTCAACAGGGCTGCAGCTTGTCCAAAGTATTGTGGAAACATTTATTTTTAAAATATGTTTTCATCTGCTGTTACTCCTTTTGTTTTGATGAATTGTCTATATTTTTTTTATAAATACGGACGTTCATTCATTCATTCATTCATTCATCTTCAACTTTTTATAATTGAGGCAAGACACAACAGGCAAATCGTTTAAACATTTTAATGAATATATATTACTATACTTTCCCCAGTTGACTAATCAGAGTACATTAAGACATTTTGTTTTGTATTACACGTTTTCTGAAATGTTAACTATGCAAATGAGACATTATTTAATTAAATATCCAAATATAAATACTATCAGCAGCCAAAATAAAGTAAAACAAAACAAATAAATAAATAAATAAATTAATTAATTAATTAAATTAAACTTTTTGGGAATAAATTGTTATAAAAAATGGTGAATGATATATGAACAAACCCCTCAGTAAAACCCTTTATAATGTAGATATATGTATTGTAGTTGAAATCTACAGATGCAAATAGATGAATACAATAAAACAGACACTTATTTGGATCTTTAATTTTATTTGAGCAATTCCTTTGTCTGTAGTGTCTTGCCTTAATTGTGCTCAAAAGGAATATTACCAACCTTATACAGATGTTTTTTTTTCATATTAACCAGAAGGTGGCAGTAGCTCCAAAGTAAATCTGTGGCATGAGTTGCCCTTGAAAGCCCTTTAACTGAATTGGAGAAAAGAGAGTAACAAACAAAACAACAACAACAACAAAAAGCAAACACCAGAGTCTATTTGGATGTTGAAATGGAAGAATGGCTGCAGTGATTGTCAGGCTGCGATGGTCTGAACTAGGAACATAAACCGTGAAACCATGTTCACGGTCTCTCAAGTTTCAGCTGCGTTTTAGCATAAGTGCTTGGGGTGTCCAGATGAATACCCCCACCTTCCCAGCCTTCTCAGCCGCATGTGTGGAGCCATCAGTGTCTGGTAAACTGCTCCGAAGACCTACCGCTCTGCAATAGACTTGCAAATCACTCCTCCCTTCTGCCACTGCATTAGCATACAGATGTTGTTAAGAAAAGGAGAGTGGCCTCACAAAGGAGCCCTGATGTGAGAAATGCCCTTGCATTTCATTTACTGCCCAGCCTTGTCTCAATAAAAGGCAGCGAGACCTTTGGCTATTGTCCATGACCGTGTGTTACAGTGGGATGTTTCTTAGTCTTCCATGCACGAATGCTGGAACAATGAGCAAAGCAACACACAAAAGCCTTCATCTGTTCATTTGTCCTTTGTGTGTGTTTTCAGCTTGAATAATTAAAAGAGCTGTCAAGTATGCATTTTTCTTTCTTTCTAGAAGGCAGATGGAAGGAGTAGCATTCAACCATGTTCGTGTTGTGTGAGCTTCACATGCAACTACTTGTAATGAGCAAAGCTTGAGAAGTTTCACCAGAAGTGCGTAAATAGCCACACACTGACATTCAGCTTTAGAAGAGAAGCAAAGGAATGAGGCAAATCAACTTTTTTGTTCCCATCAAACTTTATTTTAAAACAATATATTATAATGAAAACGGGCATTGCCATCTCATGGAATGTAAACAGTTCATTTAAATTATATAGAAAATGTAGATATATGTATTGTAGTTGAAATCTACAGATGCAAATAGATGAATACAATAAAACAGACACTTATTTGGATCTTTAATTTTATTTGAGCAATTCCTTTGTCTGTAGTGTCTTGCCTTAATTGTGCTCAAAAGGAATATTACCAACCTTATACAGATGTTTTTTTTTCATATTAACCAGAAGGTGGCAGTAGCTCCAAAGTAAATCTGTGGCATGAGTTGCCCTTGAAAGCCCTTTAACTGAATTGGAGAAAAGAGAGTAACAAACAAAACAACAACAACAACAAAAAGCAAACACCAGAGTCTATTTGGATGTTGAAATGGAAGAATGGCTGCAGTGATTGTCAGGCTGCGATGGTCTGAACTAGGAACATAAACCGTGAAACCATGTTCACGGTCTCTCAAGTTTCAGCTGCGTTTTAGCATAAGTGCTTGGGGTGTCCAGATGAATACCCCCACCTTCCCAGCCTTCTCAGCCGCATGTGTGGAGCCATCAGTGTCTGGTAAACTGCTCCGAAGACCTACCGCTCTGCAATAGACTTGCAAATCACTCCTCCCTTCTGCCACTGCATTAGCATACAGATGTTGTTAAGAAAAGGAGAGTGGCCTCACAAAGGAGCCCTGATGTGAGAAATGCCCTTGCATTTCATTTACTGCCCAGCCTTGTCTCAATAAAAGGCAGCGAGACCTTTGGCTATTGTCCATGACCGTGTGTGACAGTGGGATGTTTCTTAGTCTTCCATGCACGAATGCTGGAACAATGAGCAAAGCAACACACAAAAGCCTTCATCTGTTCATTTGTCCTTTGTGTGTGTTTTCAGCTTGAATAATTAAAAGAGCTGTCAAGTATGCATTTTTCTTTCTTTCTAGAAGGCAGATGGAAGGAGTAGCATTCAACCATGTTCGTGTTGTGTGAGCTTCACATGCAACTACTTGTAATGAGCAAAGCTTGAGAAGTTTCACCAGAAGTGCGTAAATAGCCACACACTGACATTCAGCTTTAGAAGAGAAGCAAAGGAATGAGGCAAATCAACTTTTTTGTTCCCATCAAACTTTATTTTAAAACAATATATTATAATGAAAACGGGCATTGCCATCTCATGGAATGTAAACAGTTCATTTAAATTATATAGAAACAAACATGAAACGAAAGCACAACACAATATACTGTTTTCCCACTTCGAAAAAAACGAAATAAATACGTTTTAAGTTAACAAAAGGCAAAAGCGTGTCTTGTCACAATGCAAAAAGTTGAGAAACAACAACTGCAACACAATCAGAACTCACAGTTCATGTTATTTGCAAATGACAAGTTTCGCCTCTTAAATAGAAACTGAGAGTGCAAAAGACGAAGGCCGTGGTATGACTTCACTTTTTTTTTTTTCTGGTACATTGTCACTTACACATTCACATTGGCTTGCATATGAACATGTCCTTGTGGATATCTCTGACTAGTATTATTATTATTACTGAGAAAGGCTGATACGGGACAGTGGAGTGTTTCGATAGCACTTTAAAACGATCCTGAGATTCCAACTCTGAGACTCTGTGCAGCTAGTCTTCATTAAAGCTAAGAGATATAGTTTGTGCAAAGCAGACAAACGGGTTCAAAGAAACAAACAAAAAGCCTTATATACATTGTTCCTTCTTTGAAATGCATATAAAACAAAAACAACCAATGCATATTACAAAAAAAGCAATAAATAGTTTTTTTTTTTTTTTTTTTTAGTTTTTTAATGTAGGGGTTTTTTTCTTATTTTTTTGGTGATTATGGCTAAAACTTTTCAGTAATACTGTCCATTTAAAAATGCCTTAACTAAAGGCTACAGTATGTTCAGGGAGTGGGTTAGACGTCACACTAGATGTATATACTCTAAGTTGCTCGGCTTTGGTTAGACTACAGATGGGCGGCTTGGGAAGTTTGATCCTGCAGACAAAACACCGCAGAGCAATTCCTGAAACAAATAAACCTAAAGTGAAGTTCCCACTGCAGCTTCGTACTGGTATACAACAGTATACATTGCGTTCATCGCATGACATTGGATCATGTCAACATCTGCGCAGGCGAGCATGCAATATGCACCGGTAATAGTTTCTAGTCGTCTGAGACAGACAGGCGGCTAAAGATGGGCAGTCGTCGGCCCTCGATGCCAGGAGAGTCGCAGTCGCTCAGGCTGCTGGAGCTGGTGTAGCCGTCCTGATCGGAGAGAGAGTCCGCAGACGCGCTTCGCTGCAGAGCCGACAGGCAGGTGACCGCATAGGCCAGGTTCTGCACGCTCTCCGAGTCGCTGATGGCATAGAAGCTGCCGCTGGCACCCAGATCTGCGAAGGGGTGGCTGTGCTTCAGGGTCCCCGGCTTGGGGAACTGAGGGGACAGGAGGTCGGGACTCCCGGTGGATGGCGGCGGAGACACGGATGAAGATCTGGAGAAGGCCAGGGCATCCGGAACGGCGCGGAAGCTGCTGAGGGTTTGTGGTTGCGAGGAGAAGCCGCTGAAGCTGACGCTCTGGCGGAGTTGCGGTCGCGCTCGGATGCTCTTTGTGTTCTCCGAAAGCCCGTTCTGCTCGTCTGCGTTGTGTATGAAGTGACACCGAGCGCCGTAGGGGCAGAAGCCGATGGTGTGAAAGGTGCGACACGGCTCGGTCTTGTACTTCGGGTGTCTGTTGAGGCCTCTCAGCTCCTCCATCCCATGAGCGAACTGGCATTTGGCTCCGTACTTGCAGGTGCCACTTTCCTCGTAGGTGCGGCAGAGCTCCGTCTTGTAGCGGGCGGACATCGGCGCCGTGGAGGTCGTGCCGAGTACCTTCGGGCAACTCAAGGAGCTGTTGCTGATGCTAAACCCGGGCGGTGGCGGAAGAGAGTTGGCTGTTGGGCTCTCGAAGGCCACATGGCCCTCGATCATGCTCACGGACCGGTCTACTCTGAAGGGGATCTGGCTCAGGGAGGAACGCGGCAGCTGCTGCTTCATCTCGTGGCTCCAGTGCTGGTTGATGGCTGGAAGAGGCCACGGGCTGCTGTCGTTGCTGTTGAATTTAGAGTTGGGAAGAGTCACGGGGCACAGGGAATGTCTGCGCTGGAATCCCACCACACGCTGCTTCTGCGTGGCTTCTGTCAGATCAATACCGCGGAAACTCTGGGAACGGAGAAAGAGAGAGACCTCAGTATGCTTTGTGGTGCACGAGTTTCAATGAAGCAAGAAAGCAACTCTAGAAAGGCATGTAAAAACACAAAGGGATAGTTCACACAAAAGTATTCTGAAATTAGTGGGATCAAAAACAACACGTTATCTGGACCCCACTGGCATGGATTGTATGTACAAATAAATACATTCTTAAGAGTCTTTTCTGTGTTCCACAGAAGAAAGAAAGTCACACAGAATTGGAACAATACTGACTGGGTTTGCATTATTTGAGTGAGCCATTCCTTTAAATTGAGTTGATTAAGTGCATGAGCAGATTGCATGAGCAATTTCCAGAGAGTTTCAAAAAACAAAACTCATATTCTTACCTTGCAGAATTCATCATCCAACTCCAGAAAGGGCGTGAGGAAATTTGATGGCATTTTCAAGATGCCTGGCTGTGATTCTTTATGTGCAGTTAAGGATGTGTTGAACTGCTCAACAACTGATGTCAAGCTCTGCTTCTGTTACAACCCCACTGTTGGAATCTCACTTTATAAGCGGAAACTTCTAACCCTGCCCACCTTTTGAAGAGGCGTGTTTTAGTGCCTGGTTCACAGCCCCTCAAGAGTCAGGAAAGTTTGCTTGTCTCCTGCCTAGGATTTCATAAAGAGCAAGCACAAACTTTAATACATCTTAGATCATCTCAGATCAGGTGTAAATTATTTTAAAATGGCTAAAGGTGGATCTACACAAAGAAAGTTTATTTTAATTCTAACATCACAAACAGGGTTAACTTTTACAAAACAAAAAAAACA